GGAAGATTGGCTCGTGCCCAGCCTGTCCAAGACCGAGGAGCAGCAGTTGACAGCCTTAGGCAATGTAGTCATGCCCAGATGTGCACGGTTGGCGCTGCACGTTTTGGGGCGCCACCACAGGAAGCTGCATGGGGATCAGTAGGGCTAAAAGAAAATAAGATCTACTTGTTATTCGTCACATTTAATGGCAGCTGGTTGTTGTCATGGTGTAAAGCTTGAAGAACACTATGTTTTTTGTTTTGTGTGGGTCTTTGTCCGAACCCGCGCAGCTGGTTTCTAATTTAAGTTTGCCGTGCTTCAACTCAGTGTTTCCGCGCTTGCAAGCCTGCTGCTGACTCACCCTGCCACAAGGTGCTCCTGGCACGCTTGTCACTTTTTCAAGTTCTGGTCACAATTGGTGCGCACGAAAGCAGTTCTCCGTGTTGAAGCCTTATTGTCTCCTTCAGCTTTTTAGCCGAGAAGTTATAGTGGGGCAGAGCGTCGACCAAACGGTTACGATGCGAGCAGTTGTCAGCCGCGCCAGTGCCCATGTCAAACCTGTCTCGACTTGGTGGGCTGGTGTTTATACCACCAGCATGTTGCCACCAGAAACAGGCCACAGCGGTTTTCTATCAGATGAGGATACTGAAATAGTGGTGGTTCCTGAGTTGCAAGATCGCCAAGAACCCTCGCATACCGAGGCTCGATCCAATGCGTGTCAGTGTGTAGCAAGTTGAAGCGAACTTGAATGTGATCATTTGTAGAAACCTGGTTCTGATGTTTGAATCTGGTAGGTGATTGACCTGGACCAATTGAACAATGACGAGACCTTGGCTTCTGTCGAGGAAAAGCCTGCGCTTCAATTGATTTCGACCCCGAGCTTTTGATATATAGGCAACAACTCGGTCGAAAAAGATCATTGCAACTTTAATTCCTACTGGGTCAACGCCAAGTGAACCCGTCGTTGCTTTCACCCTGACATGCAGGACGCAAGCCCACCACCGGGACCACTTCCAGGACAATGACAATCTCACCCCATCAACTTCTTTCATGCGCGTAAGACTTTAAACTAGAATCTGCTTCCGGGCCAGGACCTGAAGGTGGACTCAAACGGCGCAGCAGGTCTCCAGGTGGCTTGCGGTTCAAGTGGTGTTTGTTTCTTTCTGATCTTTTGTTGTGTTCCTCCTATAGAGTCACGATCATGATTTCAATTGGGCAGGAGATGATGCAGAGAAGCCCAGCCAACTGAAGCAAATGCGGAGATTGAAGAGCAGTTTCAATTTAGGTGCTGACTAAAGGGTTGCTCTTGGAGAGCTCCAAATGTGTTCATCTCTTTTGAGTAAATTAATCATTGCCAATTAATGTGACAGTGATGCTTAATTAATTAGGTTCACAGACTTGACGGCACTAGGCTCTAGAGCTGATGGCGCGGCCTCGCAAAATGACAAGTTTGACTTTACTTTACAGAAGTTGTGTTCCCCGTGTCTATCTAGGGGGTGGAGATGATGAGAGCAACAGTCATCATTGATCTATTATCCTTTTGTTTTCTGTTGAAGACTGTCTGAAAACGTGTCAGTCAAACGCCCAGGAGTCGTTTGTGGTTGTAGTGTACAGGCAAACTCAAAAGAGGCAAGATTTAGAATCGATTAGTTCCCTACGCTTCATGCCTTCAAATCAAGGCCGCTGCATAAGGATTCAGGTGTTGTGTTTTGAATTTAACAGACTCGAGACAAAACAATCGAACAAGCTTCTGAGTTCACCTGCCAGTTTTTCAAGAACTGCTCTATTTCTCAATAGTCTTGCATGTGCATGGTACCAGGCTACTAGTTGTTTTTGTATCAGGGCATGTTTTCAGTTGATATTTTCAGCTGATTTGGCAATGGCTGCGTGGCAACTTTGCCCGATAGATGCACTGTCGGACGAAGAGCCTTTGGCGCCAGTGGAGCCACAACGAGATGCGAAGCCCGGTGGCAAGCGCAAGTCGGAGGCAAAGGCTGCCAACCCACCTGTCAGTGCCCATGAAGTTAGGACTAGGGTGGTCAAGGTCACAAGACTTCTGTGCAAGTGTTGCAAGAGGTCTAGAGCTACAGCGGGAACCAACGCAGTGAGTTGTTTGCATCGGTTTGCTGAAGATGTGGACCGGCTGGCTGAGTGGCGTTTGAAGTTCGTCAATTTGCACAAACTTGATCAAGACAAAGCTGTTGCTCAGCTTTGCCCAGTGTGCCAAATGTTTGTCAATTTTCTAGCAACCCCAGCCTACTACGGATTTTGTTCCTAACGGTTTGTTGATGTTTGGAGCCATCCATATTTGGCATCAGGTGATAGACCTCCTGAAGGAGTCTCCAACAAATCGACGCCACGCGCAAGGCCTATATGGCAAATCGGTATGCACAAATGCATTCTGCAAACTTATTGGCATTGGTCACGGTAGATTCCACAAGCTCAGGCTTGCCAACAAGGAAGGCTCAGTGCCACTTGATGGGCGGTTTGTGAGAAGCCTCAAGAGCAAACCGCCTTCTGAAAATAGACAGATCGTACACGAATATTTGGAAGAGCTTTATCAATGCGTCGCTGAGCCCATGCCAGAAGTCTCCGAGCCGGGTGTGATGCGACAGATGTCATTCCGGCGCCGCCGAGGTAAGCGGCCTTTGCTCGCAAGCCGTCAAGGCAAGTTGGACAAGAAGGGGAGAGAGCACATGAAGCTGCTGCCACCAGGGACTTTCAGCGACTATCTCCAGCTCTTGCTAGTTAGGTACCCTGGGCGCAAGATCAGCCTCAAACTCTTTTCAAGCGCGCCACGTCTCAAATAGGAACTGGTTCTTGGAACGTTTTGCTCACAGAGTTTCACCTGGGAAACAGTCAGCGCTGTTACTAACTGTATGAACTGTATGACTGACTTGAACGTTGCGTGTTACCTGTTAAATTCTGGTCATGGTTGAACTCTGCCTCGTTCGAGGTCTGGTCGGACAGCTTTAAAGAAAGATTGGCGGTACGCCCAGAATCGCAACACAAGCAGTGCTCTGTGTGCACGCGACATAAGGCCATCATACGTCGCATGGGAGATGATAGAATCGGCAGGGGCGCTCAAATGATTGCATTTGGCAATCATTTGAAGCGACAATACCGCGACCGATGCGAATACTGGAGCCACAGATCCCTCTCACGACTTCAACAGCCGGTGGCCTCGGGCGACATCATTGTCACGGCCATCGTGGACGGCTTAGACCACGGAAAAATGAAATTCCCTCGGTCAGGGTGCCTGACTTCAAAGGACTATAGTGCATTCGTTCGCCCGCACTTGGATCTGACGGCCATCCTGTGCCACGGACACGCAGCCCACCTTGTGGCCAGCCAGCCTTTTATCGCCAAAGATTCAAACTTAACAGCAGACATTGTGATGAACCTCCTGCATGTTGTCGGGCTGCAGGTGGACCTACGTCAAGTAGGGTTCCACCTGCAGTCCGACAACACAGTTCGCGAGACGAAGAACAACACGACGTTAAGGTTGCTTGGCATCATGGTTGCCTACCACAAACTCAAATACGCAAGGCTGGACTGCCTGCAGAGTGGACATTCACACGAGGATGTGGACGCCTTTCTCGCCCTGGTAGCCAACAGAATACAGCAGTCCAAGGAACTACACAATCAGGAACAATTTTGTTCCAATCTTGGGGAGTGGTTGAGCAACAAAGACATCAGGAAACACGAAGAGCACCGAGCTGTTCATTTGGTTTCAGCTGTAAGGGATTGGAAACTTGCAAGGTGTAATTCAAGTAATATTTTTAAGGCGGTGCGCCTCGCAAAAAGGGTTTGCGCCAACTATAGTGTGTTGGTGGTGCGACTTGATCCGAAGCCGAGGAAAAATTTCCTCAAAATTTGGCTCCATGGCAACAACTTGGTGGGTATCGGTGGGCCTGGCGCCCCTCACAGCTTCAAGCTGCAAAGGAGACAGGACGCTGGCCACCTGCCATGAAGGGCAGCGGTGTTCTTTGAATTGTTTGGTATGCATTCGGGAATGGAATACCTACAATGTGTCCTTTGGGGCTTTAGGGTTTACATTACAGCTAAGGCTGCTAAGGCTTAGGTTCTTTTTTTGCGCTCCATTGGTCTCTCATTGTTTGCGTGGGTGTCAGTTAGGTTTGCCTCCTGATGCAATTGATTCTACTTTCTGGAGAAGGCTCGGCGTGGACATTTCTCCTTCCGACGTGATCCTGACGACTCTTGGAGTCATGTCAAGAGTCGAAAGGGTTTCTTTGTTTTTTTTCAGTTGTTTGCACCTGGTTGTACTGTGGCTGACGGTATTGCTTGCAAGCTAGGACGAAGCAATGGATGTCAGATCAGGAATGGACCAGGCCGATCCTCTATTTGCCTCGCCAAGTTGCAAAGGAGATGATTGACAACGTTGGTGGTGTGCCCGAAGGAGAGAGGGTGAAGGTCGCAAAGTTTTTTTTGAAAATCATTCGGTTGCGTAATCGTTGAAGTTTTACCAAGTGTCATTCAGTAAAGAAGGGCATGGATTGAACACTTAAATGACAGGCCCTTATCTAAACACACAACAGCCTAATATGGTTTCATGTGTGGAACCGGCTCCCTGAGTCCATGCAGATGAGCGGCCGCTAGAAGCCAAGTCTGCCGAGCATTGGCTGAAATACGCGAAGCTGCTTCGATACTAAACTTTGCCCAAAAAGACTTTTCAAGTTGATGTTCTGAGGTGAAAGTTTGTGATGTTACGGTCTGTTATTTGTGATGTTTGGTTGTGACATTTGCTTTTGCCATTTGTTTGGTAGGTCTCGGAATTTTGTTCGACCGCAGGCGAAGATCCTTTCTATTTGGAAGATGCCGCCGCGAGCCTGGAGAGCTTGGCGTTCAACACCACGGAACGAAGTACGCCGTTGCCCATCGACAGGCGCATCGTCACGGCAGATAGTCTAGTTTGCGCTCAATTCCCAAAAGATGTTGCCAGGGCAGCAATCTCTCCAGGGCCATCAGTTGGCCAAGGCATTGCGGCGCCAAGGCGTGGAATGGATTTGGACCCAGCCAGCTGACTGCAAGTCAGATTTCCACCGTTGCCAAGCAAGTAGTTTGGTTTTAATTCACCATTTTGCTCAGGACCCGAACCCGGTGAGGCTGAGACGGGAAAGGCTTCCAAAGCCTCAGCTAGACACATACCGCTCCAAACGGAGATCTTTTTATATGTTCCAGGCTGCTGCAAGATTGTGGGCGGAAGGCGTCTCATGGCCAAAGGCCCTTGAGATCATCACTGAGGCATTCGATGCCACCACTCACGAAGCCTAAGTCATTTTGTGAAATTTTGTTGTTTGACATGAGCTTAGTTCTGACGGTATGTTCCTTGGGTAACCCAGATTCAAGAGTTTGAACTAACTGGTCATCCATTTTTAAGATTGGGGTGCAACGTTCAAGGCTTTTTGAATGTAAAGGTTTCACTCCCCACCGCAGCCATCTCGTTCGCTTTGGGCGGAGTCATGTTGCAGATGTCTTGGTCAGCTAGTTTCAAATCGATGGCCCGAAGTGAAGCTGTCGTTCTTTTGCGAAAGAGTGTTCTGCAGAACGCTAGCCTGCAAAACGAGCCCTCGTTTCCTGCCGCTGGCCAGTGCCTGCCATCAGAAAACCCTAGGCAGTTGACCTAGTTTTGGAAAGTCCAGCCTTGAGCCAAGCCTCAACATTAGTGTTGGCGTCCAAGTTGAAGGGTTTTGTGACCACTGGCGCTGCCCGTCATCACAAACAACCACCTTGTGCGCGCACATGTTTTTGCCACAAGAATTTGGATTTGCGTTGCGGAGATAGATTTTGCTTGAAAAATTTGGGTGCGGCATGGAGTTTTAGGGGGTCACCCTGGGTTAAAAAATTCAAGTAGCGCCCAAATCCAATGTACAAAGTAAATTTCATTTTGTGACAGCCGTCGCTGTCATTCATCACAAAATGTGCTGGCGTTTGGGGGGGGCCGCACAAAACCCTTGTCGCGCGGTTGGGATTCCGCAGAAAAGTTTTGTCATGTTGTTGGGATCCCGCACAAAATCTTTCAATGTTGTGAGGATTCCGCAGAAAAGTTTGTCATGTTGTTGGGATCCCGCACAAAATCTTTCAATGTTGTTAGGCTAGGATTCCGCAGAAAAGTTTAGCATGTTGTTGGGATCCCGTACAAAATCTTAGCATGTTGTTAGGATTCCGCAGAAAACCTATATGGCGTTGTTGGGATTCCGCGCAAAATCTTGTTGGCGTTCTTTGTAAGGGAGGTAGCCACAAACAGCCTTTCAGGCCACCTAGCCAACTGCGCCAAGAATGTGCAGCAGAAAGGGGATTGCTTACTAATTATTTCTAATTCTGAATGACTCGGTATGCGTTCACGCGCGTCCTATTTTAGACTTAACCTGTTTTTCTATGATGTTAAAGCCGCCAAGAGAGGTCAAAAGGCCTTGACTTATAGGACGATACGCCCTCCAATTGTGTGTTAGAGGGCGCATCGTCCTATAGGCAGGGCCTTCTCCAGCTTCTTTGTTGACGCCAAAGGTTCTTGTATTCTTTGCTGTGCATTGAAAGTGTGGTGCGTTGGAATTTGTTGCGTTGCCTAACAAGCAGCACGGTGCCAGGTGACCCATCGACGCAGGCTGTCGGACCCACTGCCCGGAGCCATAATTAGTAAGACACATTTACTCAGACCTACAGGCGTCGCAGATTTGAAAAGAACAACATAACTTTTGAGAGGCCCAAGTCATTTGCTAAGGCGCCTGTTCTCACGAGACGTCTCTACCAATGATTTTTCAAGGTTTGGTTCAAGGCCATTGGCCAGAGTGCAGGCGAGATGCCTGTCAAACGTAAATCCGACTCGTCTCGCTCAAAGGCGGCAAAGGCCAAGGCTGAGCCGCGTCATGCTCCCATAGAATCCGTGGAAACCAAACATGTTGGAATATTCCGGAAATGGATGTCATTTGGCTGCCAGTTGACATTGAAGATGTCAAGTTTCAAGCCGACTGCATGTTGTTCATTTTGCTGCATGATGCTGCGCGGCAACCTTCAAGTCAAGGACCGAACGCCTTGAGACGTTTGAGAACATGCAAGCGTGCTTTGAGAATACCTTCGCCAAGAAGGAGCTTGTTGCGACCCAGTCCCATTGTACAATAAAGCCGATGTGATGTATGCTTGTGCGAGGATTCCCTGGTCAAGTTCTTGAAGTTCACAGATGAGTTTTTCCCGGCAGAGCCAGATGTGTGTGGGTCTCAGCGTACTACGCGTGCGCCCTTTGGCAAGTGAGTAGGGCTTTGAATCTGGACCTGAGGGCCTACGCGACCACAACGTGTTTGAAGGACCAAGGAGGAGTTTACTTGCGGCCTTACCACATACCGTTCTCGAAGACTTCAGGCCTGAAAGGCATCATAGAATCGGACACTGGAATGAACATTGACATGTGTCCCATGATGTCATGTCAAATCTATTGTTTTGCGGGCTTTCAAAAACTAAAGAGTGATTTGCAGCCTCTCAGGACCAACTCTTGCAAATATGCGAGCTCATTGCTTTGCAAGGGTAGCCTAGCAGATTCAAAGCGATATTGCATAATGAGCGCAATTTGATAGTCAGTATTCAAGATTCAATGATATTCAATGACTGCACCATACCCCCTTGGTTTGTTTCCAGGTTTCAGACAGATAGCAACCTGGGAGGGATTGAGAAGCTTGCGATTTGTGCTATGTCTCCGGAGTACGGCTGTTGCCCACCCTTCAACATCCGCTCGGATGAGATCTCTCCAGAGATTGCTGGGCTCCTGGAGCCACTGTCGGTCTTCATGGTTAAGGGCTGGGCACGAAGCTTTTCGGCCATGACAGTCATGCTATGTGCTTATGAATGTGAAGAGTTTCGTTTGGCACTCCCACTTTCAGTCAAGCAGTAACTTGGCCATTTGTTGCAAAGTGTAAGCTTGCAAATTAAATGTTCCTTCATTCTGAACCCCACGTGCGACTTCTCATTTTCTTGGGCTCGACAGGTCCTTTAGCACAATCCACGGGGCGGTGGTGCTTGTTCCCGGGAAGGACGACCCAGCAATGATGGTGTTGAAAAACAGAGGCCTGTGACATTGAATGCTGTTTATATTTTTTTAAAGCTGAAGCAAATGACAAGCGAGACACTTTACAGGGTTGTGGTTCGATAGGCATTTCATACCAGTCGACAACGCGAAGAAAGCCCAATGCGTTCACACTACTGTATCAGATGAGCTTGGTTGAGAAAATGGGCAAGGAGGATGTGGCAGGCTTGTCAGCGTGGAACAAGGCCTCCGAGGTTGCTGAGGCATATAGCATAGGACGCACAGAATCGGCAGCAGCTTTGTGCCTCCACAAGGAGGTGGAGCCCGAAGTTGTGCGATTTCTGGCGCAGCAAGTCCAGTCTTTCGACGCAGTGCAATAGGTTTTGTTTTCAATTTGGCTCAGGTTTGGAAGCCGCGCACGCCGGCTGTTGTCACTGAGTAAGGTAGTAGGTGTGTGTGTGTGTGTGTGTTTCATGAATTTGTAGCGACGCCAAGGAAATGGAGTATGTCAAAGTTTTTGACTCACGAAGCTATTGCCAGCAAAATCTTTTCAAGAGAGTATACATCGGGCTATGGTTCGGCCGTTGCTTGGGAGAAACAGCTCACAAACACGACTCCGGGGCTTAAACTGATGTGCGAGCGCATGGCACGAGACTTCGACCAAACCAACGCCAAGCTTCGGAAACCATACAACTCTCAGTCGTGCGACCTTTGGAGATGCCTAATATACTTTTGCCTTCAACTTCACAAGTTGAAACTGAAATAGAAGTAGGACACCAAACTTTACCAAACCCCCTTGCTATCATAACACACCTGCCTCAGGAGCAGCTCCAGAGAGTCTGTGCGCTCTTCAATGAATGCATGACGGTGTTCAGGGCAAGTTTCCCACCAGATTTTGTGGCTGCAGAGGAGCCTGTAATCATGAACTCGTTTTCGCCCTAGCTTGTGGTTGCAAAATGGTTTGATTACGTGACAACAATTACTACAAAGACAACGAACAAATTTTTAGAGAACTTAGTCGCTGCAGGTTCCTTCTTCGGCATGCCGATGCCGACCTGCAGAGTTTAGTGGAGGGGGTCCCTCCGGTGAATCTTGATGCGATTTCAGTTTTCCGAATTGCAGTGGCAAAACACAAGAAGAAGGCAGGTCCTTGCCGCCCATTTTGAGTTTGATGCTGTGGCCAAGTGTCATTTGGTGTTCAAAACCATGGGAAGTTTGAGCAGGTGGAATGCGACAAGCGTCATTCTGACGAGAGGCTTCGACGGTCTTTCATGTTTGTGCACCATGCGCCACTTTTGTTTCGCGAGTGCTTTGGAGCAGTGTGTTCAACAGCGCCTTCTTTTTTGATTCAGGATTGCTGAGATGCTTGCAAGCGCTACTTTCCAAGACACGCAGAACAAGTTGGACGAAGATTTAGCCGTCATGGGACGCTACCTCGAGGAGGTAAAGCAGTGGTCCATGCGTCAGGCCCGGTATGATTCAATCCAGGAGAGGTTGAAAGGACATAAAAGCGAAAGGTGTCGCAAGGATCCTTGTGACACCTTTCGTTTTTAGTCGCTTTCAACCTCTCCTGGATGGAGCGAGCAAAAGTCATTGCGTTTACTTGTATTGTGTGTTGTTGCCAGGGCTCCCTTGACATGAAGTATATCCAGCAGCGCTACTCCCAGGGAAAAGATTGGGTCTCGAGCTTCATGTGCACCAGGCACAGGTGCGTGAGCCTATCACTGCCAGAGGCCCATGCGGACCTTCTGAAATGGCAGAAGTCTGAGCCAAGCGATAACAAGCTTCTTAGCTCAGTGTGTTTGTTGGTGTTTGAATTTGCGCAGTTGCTCAATGCAGCTGGCTTGAGTCACTTCGATTAGTTTGCCCAAGGGTCGTATACACCCTTCTCATTTTGGATTGCTCTTTGTGGCCTTCTCACCGTCCCTGGGATGTTGAGGGGAGAAGCGTTTGTGTGTATTATCGCAAGTTCCTTCGCTGGTAGTTTTGTATATTGATTTTTGCCCAGGACCAACGGCCCTTGACGAGTCTGTTGATGTGGCGCGAACGGTGTCTGCAGGGGATGAGTCTGCGGTCTTGTTCACACTTTTTCCCATTGGTCACGGGGGCACTGACAAATTGGTCACGATGAAAAACAAAAGACTTCTGGAAGATCGTATTGTCAAGCCCCTTGGTTTGTTTTGTGCTTTTTTGATGGAATGCAACGTATGAGGGAATGCAACGTGGTCAGGTTTAACTTCTGTGTAATTCTGGGCGCCCT